CATTATAGGCCAGAGGAAATTTTGCGCCCGGGGGCGACTGCCCCCCCTGCTACGCCACTGTCTCGAACATACGCGGACTTCCTTGATCATTCGAGAAACTCACGCACGTCACGGGACTCCCGCTGTCGTAACAGTATTATCATAGGACGAATAAATCTGAGATTGAAATATTTGGGCCGCCAAATATCCGTCGACAGCTTAAAAAATACGGTCTCAAATTGTCAGGTGTTCACAAAACTGCTAAATTTCCTATCAACTATGAGATGTTAGTGTATTTTAATCAATCTAACACTGAAAACCAAGGTATCCCCTACACATGACATTTCTGATGATATACTAATATTTGACGTCAAGCGTAATAAAAACAATTTAATGAGCCTTAGTCTTATGGGAACAGCTAAATTCTGGGTAAAGTGGTTGTTAATTTCTCCAAAAAAAACAAACAACGGCGCCCGAGCTTTGGCGTGTTTAAAGTCAGTGGAATCGGGCCAAACATCAACGGGCCGCAAAGTAATTGAAAAAAAAACAAAAAAACTCATAAATTTCTATACCTATAGCTGATCAGTAGGTACGAGCCCTAAAATAACTACACTCGTTTGAAAAGTTCAAAACGCCTCTGCACCCAGAGGTAAATGTCCCTCCCCACACAACACTGCTTAAGATTGTTACATTCCTGGAAAAGAACAATAACTTAACAACTCACAAGAACTATGATATAATGTCAATTCTTGTACACCATATAGGAGAACCACAACTTATCCAAATAAGGTTTATGTATTTTCTGGACCTGACAGTACAATAATTACCTGAAATGAAAATATAAAGGCACTTCCACAATACTTGAAAAAAAATGTAGAATCAAACTTTGAGAAGCCACAGTTAAGATCAACTGATAAAGATATTTTGAAGTTATCCTCTGATTTTTTGTGTTTCTTCACTAGAGGAAATAAAGTAAATTAGGGCGGAAAATGATGATATCTGAGAGTTGATCTTAAAACAAGCTTTCTATAATTTTAAATCCAAGAAAACTGACGAAATATGTAACATTTTAGCTAATGGTAGTAAGTCTAAAGCCTTCTAAATGTTTTATTAAGGTTAAATATCAAAGTAAGTCTAATCAATGTTGGGTCTTGAAGAATTATAAGTCAGCTATATTATAATAAGCTTGGCTTATCATAAAGTTTACTTGAAGACTTGAGAAAGTATTGTTAGTGGTAGTCTAAAGCCACACTTAATGAAGAGAACTACGAGTTTGTTTTAGCACTAAATAAACCACTACTAATACTGTAAGCTGTAGAACTCCAACTTTATTTATTTTTTTACAGAAAATTTACACATGTTCAACCTTCCAACAACAATATATCAATAATAAAAAAGTTACAACCCAATATTTGGTGAGATCTTTTCACCCAAATATTGCCACCAATAACAAAACGTTAACATTTGGCTAATCAGCAAATTAATCTTGTCAGTGCAGGAGCATATAAACTAAAATAAACACAAAGAACTTAAAATGTAACAATAACGCATGATAAAGGGCAAATTTGTGCTACATCAATAATATTATCATGAAAAAATGCTCCAAGTTTTTAAAGAAAAAAATATCTTGAGAAAAGTGATTACCACAAATAAATGACAATATTTAATGATACAATTTATGAAAATAAAATGTTTAGAAGCTGCTCTATAGGACTTCTTAAGAATTGCAGATTAAATAAACTTAAAACAATATTAAAATCAACATAAACCAAAACTGCTACAAAAAATGATGGGAACCCAAACAGAAAATGCTGGAGGAAGTTTTTGTTTGTAAAAGAATACACAAAGTGCAATATTTGGTGTTTGTACATACGTTCTGCTGAAACAACAAAACATCAGCAACACACGTCACATTATTTTTATGAGTGTTTTTACAGCATGGTCAAGCTAAAGGATCACAAGTTTACAAAGACTACAATAAAATACTAATTTTAGTAACATGCACATAGAGATTGACCTTACGTATATATACACACCTACTGAACCATAATGTTTCCTAATAATGTTGGGTCAAAGGGATTTTACTAACAATTAACTTCTTGCTATTATTGACAGGAGGTATCAGTAACCTACAATCACACAAACTTCTACCATACTATCATGTCTAAGCACAACTTTTTGGAAATTAGTATTTGAATTTAAGTTATTGGTTTCAATATATTTAATTTTCAAATAAACTTGTATTTAAGAAGAAAAAAAAGACATTGGCAATGCTTAGTTAACCTGAGAATTGGAAGGTACACAAACTGATTTATAGTTCATTCAAGTTATGTCCAACTAGATGAAAATTACTATCAACAGTAAACTTATGACAATGTTATAATAAATAAAGATAGATATCAGCATTTTGTTCCAGATAAATGTTTAGTAATCAAACAGTATATATTCAAATATCAGAATTTTTAATGGAACATTTTTGATGAAAGAAATTGTAATTTAACCTCTTTTTCAAGTTTATTAACATAAATACTTCGACAACAAAGATATTCAGTACAATTACCACTATGTTTCATTACAAACAAATCTTTTTCAATAGGTATAACTGAGTAACCATTGCAGACAGATTATTCATAATATTTATGGATGTGTGCATTTTTGTTAAGTGTAACTGAGTGACCAATCTAGACAGACCAGGCACACTATTTATGAAATTTGTATTATTACAGATTTAACTGAGAACCATTACAAATATATCTGTCACTCATGGATGTGTCTTTTCTTATAAGTATAATGAGTAACTATTGCAGACAGATCCGTCAGAGTACTTATATATATAGGTGCCATTTTTTTAATACTATCAACAGGAAACTAATGAAGATCATATATTATGCAGAGAAAGCTAGATATCAGTGTTTTGTTTCAGTTAAACTTTTTGCAACCAAACAATATATATATTCAAATGTCAGAACTCCTAATTTAACATTTTTAACAAAGGAAATATATTGCAATAAATTTTATCTTTTATTTTTCCAATTTCTTAATCAATATAAATACTTCAATAACAAAAAGGTTGTTCAGTAAATAGATCATTTTGTTCCATTACAAAAAGGACTTTTTTTTATAGGTGTAACCAAACAACAGATCAGTCAGAGCACTTATAGATGTGTCAAGCTAAATAATATAAATATTGTTTCTGTAAACATGTACGAGAACTATTCTGCAAGTTTAAGCTAGCTTGCTTACAGAATTTTTGGTGACTAGGGTTCTAGATATACTGGAAGAACAATATTGATAAGACAATTCACCGCAGGTCACTTATATTTGTTTTTGAGCCAAAAACCTCAATAAGCTGCTCTTCGTATTCATTTATGTTTCGCTTCATGATGTTCATACAAGGTCCCAGTAGTCGTTCAAAGGCATGCACATCTAAAACTATAAATGTAAGTAGTATTATGAGATGATATTATAAAATATAAATTTCTTCTGATATTAATTATTACTTTAAATAGATGAGAATGAAATATATAATATGAATAGGCTAAGTAGATTTAATATCTTGTAGTAGCACACACACACACACACACACACATATATATATACGAAGTCATAAACAATAATAAGGAATAAATACTTGTGCTCTCAACTTTTGCTCAAAGTTAATCAAAATATATACAGCAAAATCTAACCATTCAATGCTTCTGTTTATGTACATGCATATTTTGTAAATCACACACACACACATATATATATATATATATATATATAATAAAGTTCTTTACTGTATTATACACAACAAAAGCTGATAATTTTACAAACTACACATACTTAATTACAGGAACCCAAATTAAATTATTTTATTTTATCTAATGTAAGCTGTTTCTGTGTAATATGAATCACTTAAAAGGGTATACTACTTTTACTTAAATAAGACTAGTTTTTATGATAGTCCATTGATAGTCTCACGTGTAACTTTATTTATTAATTTACCAATGTAGAAAACAAATCAGAAACTAAATTACTATTAAATTTCGTATATTAATTATTTTATACAAAACATACCTAT